TTCCAGGAGAAACTAAACCAACAAAACCAAGGTGAATGTCTTCTGCTTAGTGAATCGTAGCAGCGTGCTCTGTGGTCAGGAAGCCATCAGAGTTGGCATGGAGAAGAGGGCAGGACTACACAGCTGGCACAGCAAAGCCACACCTGTCACGGAGCCAGCCCCATATCTGGAAAGAGCACTGTCTTAGATACCCCACATCCTGGTGATTAGTCTGTTCATCACACACTGATGGTCAGATGTCCTCAGGCAAAGATGGGATCTGAATGTGAGCCTTCTACAGCCCAGGTGAGTGCTCTGCCCACTTGGTCAGCATTTAAAACTGGGACTTTTGCTTCTTCTCTCCTGTTAAAAAGGAAGCCTAATATTAACCAGTCTTTTTTTTTTCCCCAAAAAAAAAGAAAGGGTATAGTGCTTAGCTCCAGGAAAGGGTTCAGAGTTGTTAAGACTCAGGAGCCTGTCTCCTGAGCACCTCCTGCTCGCTAGCTTAGGTGGATGCTTGCATTTTTCCCATCCCTATGAGCCCCAGGGATGCAGCCTGGTGTGGCTGTGCACAGTGTGGGCTTAGTAATTCCATCAGGCTGCTCTGCCAGTCCCACATGCTGCAGCATCTCACTTTCATTTGTCAGCGTGCCCTCAGCCCTAAAATGGTTGCTAGGGAGTGCTGCTTTTTGCTTGGGAAAACAAAAAGAGGAATGTGAAAAGAACTGGGTAAATACTTAGGGGTATGCATTATTACATCTATGCCTTTGTCGCCTTGTTTAAGAGATGGCAGCAATAATTCTCTTTCTTTGCTGCTTTATGACTTAGAAGTGGGAGCATGATGCTAACAAATGTTCTGACATAGTTGCTGGTAAACTACTTGCATCCCCAGCAAACCAGGAGCTGCTCACGAACAAAGGAAGAAATGGAGAAAGATAGATAACCTCACCCTTAACGCGCAGGTTCATTCTTTCAGAGAGGAATAAAAACACAGCATTACTCAAGTGCACCAGTGACAAATTCCCTCAGGACCACTGAGATTCAGGTATGCTCACCTGCATCCTGCTAAAAAGCCTCAGTAGTGGGAAGAGGTGACTTCCCCTCCTCACCCCTAGATGACCACCTCCCCGGTTGCCTATTAGGGCTGCCGCAGCCTTCGGCAAGGAACGTCTTGTTTTTAACCAAGTACTTCAACTCCAGCTGGGTTAGAGCAAAATCCAAGAGAGAGTATTTATTTACAGCATCCAAAATAAACACCACAGTAACAAAGGGGTTTTAAGGCATAAGATAGAAGGCTATACTCAGCCCTCTTACAAGAGAAAGCATAAAAAGTCCTTTTTATTCGGTATCCTGCTTATTTTCTGCAGGTGCTCTCCTGACATGTCAGGGATGCTGTCTCCCTGTGTGTCATGTGTCACAGGCTGCACACATTTCCTCCACACCAACGTCTATAACTAATCTCCTTTCCAGGGGCTCTGAGTAGATTTAATTTTTCCTCTTGAAACTTTCTTTCCATCTGAAACTTACTTCTAACTTACTCATCAGATGATCTTGACACCTCTCCAGTTAAATTAAGAAAGTCTCACTTCTCTGGAGCTGCAAATGTCACTTTGTCAGACCAGCTGTCATCCCCTGTACTTTACCAGC